GGCATTCACTGGAACTCACAAGCATTGAAACTCTAATTGCTTCACAGGCGTCTCACCTACGTAATTTCGTGCGTATAGTGCCGCATTTAATATTAGTTGTGATCCTCCTGATCCTTAGTGTCATCCACTTGACATAAGAATCGTGGAAATGATTGCGCGGCGACCTTCAACACTGAATGCGATTCTTTAATTCTGAACTTCAGTCGCTCGATATTAACGTCAGATGAGAAACAGGCAGCTACAAATTAGCCCAGTATGCGAAATAATACGAATCAACGAAATGTCGCGAAATACTACGTCCATACGCGAAACGATACGGTTTCCTGTTTTCCTGAAAGCCACTTGTATGTACCACAGTTAGTGTTCATTGCTCGGCGCCTCACGATCGTATCAATGGATTAGGAACGGTCTCGAGAAACGATTCCGATAACAAACATTAAAGAATTTGCTCTTTGGCTAATAGTGGCTCAACGATTGGAGGAGTCACGGATTTTTCACGTTATTGTCCAAGCTCTCGTAGAGCAATAATACGATCCATGATCGATTTAGCAGCAATAATAATTTCGTTAACTCTATTATAAGAGACATGTTCATTAAGAAAGCGTATTCGTTTTCAAAAGTTCTTATGCTCTTACAACCGGTAAAATACCGGTAGAAAATTACCGGTGCTGCATCTTCCTGAACTATACATATAAAAGAGGAAGAGATTGAAAGAGGTTCATAGAAATTTATTTTTCAAAATTCCAATTAAGTATTATTTTGGATTAATTAAAATATCAAATCTTTCTTTCATATATTTATCATATATTTCTTTTATATATTTTAACGGCTGTAAAATGAGTATATGAAAGAAAGTTAAGACATAAATATACATATGTAAAAAATACTTTTTACATATATTTATGTCTTAATTTTGATATGTTACCAACTATCCGAAACGAAAATGGAAGAAAATAAAATTTTAATGTAATCCTGAACTCCCAAAATAGATTCCTATGAATTTCTTTTAATTTACTTATTTTTTATAGAGACAAAACGCATTTGTTGGATAAGAAAATTTTATTTAATTCTGAAAAAGAGAAGGGAACAAAGAGGAGAGAGAAATGAGAGAGGCGACAATTGTATTTTTCTTCAACTCGACTCCCCCTTGCTTCGTCAGCGCGCACGCGGCACGAAACGACTAGTATTTTAATTAATTCTAACGAATCCGCGTGAAACTGTGGTGCGGTGAATTGATACATGGTAGAATGATAAATTGATGAAGACTGAATATATATCGATGAGATCGGAAGGACTTATTCGGCGAATTAAATTGCCGTGACTTTTAGCGAATTTTTTTTTTTTATAGATTCTTCAAATATAGCGCGTATAACGTTCACTTAATTTCCGATATATCGGTATTATATAATTTCTTTAGCATATTGTTAAAACATGTGCACGTTACCGTTATAAAAAACAATGGATAGTTGATTTATTTCTCTTCGGCACTGTAATTTCACGTGGAGGAACTAAAAAAGGGACACTATGACGTCAGGTTTATCGCAAAGCAAGATATTTTGTGGCATTTAATTTAAATATATGTTTTATATTTATTTGTAAATTGATTTTTTATTTGTTTACCTTATATACCCATTCGCAGGTTTATTGTCTTTTTTTCTATTCATACGCATGTGCTGGATAGAGAAATTTTCATGTAAGAAATAGATATGGCGAAGAAGACTCATACAAAATCTGCATACATTATCTGCGTACTGTCACTTATCACATATCATTGTAAATATTATGCGATATTCCTATTATGTCGTATTATCTATGTGTTGTAACAATTATTCGATAATTAACGCGGCATATATAATTAACAAATATTTGAAATTGCATGTCATTTCGTAATTTTACTATCTATTATTGATGTGTAAATTTTATTAACATTGTTCGTTAAATTAAAGATATCAGTGGTATTTATATGATATCGTAACGTTT